AGTACCAGGTTATTCCTGTTGCTGTTACTCTACATTGATTTAGTTATATGGAGGATTAGGATGAAATTTTGTGTAGCCTCTTGCACTGTCATAACTGGGGTGAGAAAAATAGTGAGATGTCGTTGAGGGTTTTTATAACTAAAATGTTATTACTAAGGAAAGGAAAACAGGAAATTTTCAATATCTTTTTAATAGTTAAGTAGCCTTTTATATTATGTCTGTGAAATAGAAAAATAGGTGCTTTTACTTGTTTTAGATAATTAATAGTTTTTTAAAACAAAATAAGACTCTAGTCAGTTTTTAAATACTATTTTTGCTTGTTTTTAATTGTGTATATTAATGTTATTTTTTTTCATAATGACAGTGTAAAATTATTTTACTATTTGATTTTATGTTTTATAGAGGGCCACAAGTTTATCAGTTTTATCTTAACTGTCACATGTTTACCCTCTTTAAATGAAGGCTTTACCTTACCTTACCTTAACTTACGATGTAGCAGGGAATGAATTGACTCCCTGGGGAGTTCTCCCTATAATGGGCCATATGTAAAGGCTTCCTTCGAAATTTTGGTTAAAGAATATTAAATTTTAAGGAAATCTGTCGTTTCGGTCTGTAAAAGGACCTAAAAGGACTAATGGCATTTTATGGCGGTGACAAAGGGAAGAAACTTCCTGGCATAGTGATTTGTTCAAAAGGCGGTGTATTTGTAAACTAGGTCGAAGACTGGGTTATATTGGCATTTGTCATCCCCACACTGTTATTAAACTGAGAAAAAAAAATTTTCTTGCTTCAAACCAGGCTCTAGTCGAAGTTATCAGAGAACATCACCACCATCATCATTTTCTGGATATTTTAACCGAAGTTACCAAACGGGTGGTTGAGAGACAGAACAGAGAACACAACATCGAGTGCCCTGTCCAGGTTCCAGCACCCATGCACACACTCACCAAGCATCTGTATTTGTGAGAAGACTGGGTCAAGGTATTGACAACAAAGAGAAAATTGAGCTCTACGAAATCATCTCTTTAAGAGCCCAAAGACACTTCGCAAGACAACGTTAAGTTAAGCCAGATTATTTACCCTTGTCTGTCATATAGGGACGTTTTGTCAACCACAAACCTTAGTTTTTTTTTCTCGAAAACCTTAGTTGCCTTGCAGATCGCCGAAGTGCTATATCAGCAAAGCGGTTCGCCGACATAATTAGCAATCAAGATCACAAGCTACGACATCTTTTACTCCCGCCAAATACGTGAGCTGAACATCCCCGGAGTACTTTTAAGTTTCGATTGCCTATATAAAAAACGAACAGAATGAAGAGTTGTAACATATGTAGTCATTGTAAGGTCTTGAAGCGAAGACCTCACTTTTTGCTTTGAGATGTCTAGTGAAAAGTGCAACCAATAAGAAACAAGAAACATTCAAAAGGAAATGCCCCAGTAAGACATCAGCACAGTTAAATTTCTCCTTGTTCCAGAAAAAAACATGTTTGGTGTTTTGCCAGGGCTACCAACAACCTAAATGAAAACAAACTAAAGTCACTTTTGTGGTAATTAGTTTGAAAACAACGAAACACGAGGCTGATTGGACATAGACAACTAAAACAGATTTCTCTATTACCCCGACATTCCTTGAGGATTGAATTCACTGTTTTAAGTTAGTTGCATGTCTCGTTTCATTCTTTCATGCTTATCCAAGATCGGTTGTAACGTGTAACTGTTTGTCCATTTTGGCGAACCTGGCACAATTAAAAAGGTTCATTCGCACTTTTTGGTAGGGTTACCAGTTCGCCCCTTACGTAGACTTGAAACACGTAGGTAAACTGTTAAAACTTTGTACATTCCATGGCTCAGTTGCATTACTCATTTAGTCGGGCACCTGCCCGACTACACACTGCCCTTAAGGCGGACTTATGTTGTCATGTACATATCATATTTTTGCTTGAAAAATTCTCATATAATTAAAATATCATATGCAGTATTATAAACATAAAAAGGAGTCTTAACTTGTAAATAGGTAAGTGGTAGCATATGTGTGTATTTAAAATTGACATCCGTTTGGAGGAAAACTTCGACCAGGAAAACAGAACCACTGTCTTTTCAGACCTTCCCTTTAAGTTACTTCTAAAGTTTTTCACTGTAACAACTAGAAAGTTGGGTTTTCTTTCATTCTAGCCGGATTTTGCGCAAACATTTGTAAATGGTAAACAACCCATGCCTGCCGGCTGTGCAGACACCAATCAGAGCATAGGATACGGCCAAGTTCGATGCACTAATCAACGCTTGTATGTTTTAATACTGATTGCATATTATTGTATAGACTTTGTATGAGGAAGATATACCTGTCAATATACTTGTCTCTTTGTTTTTATTTGCCTAAATAATGCGAAGCAAGGCTGGTTACGGTGCGCAACCTCAACATCACAAAACAACGCGCCGATTCGCCAGAATAGCACTAAATTCCTCAGGCAAGCTATGTCTCTCAACTTTTCCGCTCGCGGCTCGATCTCAATTGATATGTCTTTGCGTGGGATAAGTTCTTGGTGGGGAAAATTTGTTAAAATCTGAAAGGTTACTAAAAAAAATGCGCTCTCTTGGCTTCCACTGGCTGTTGCGTGTACATATTGTGGCATCTAACCCTTGACTGCCTTCCGTATCAGAGTTGAGAAGTCACAATGCTAGTTCCATGGCAGGGATGACAATTTAGTGTCACTCTTACAAAGTCACAATAAGTCTCAATCAGACCGATAGCAACGATATTAAGGTGGACGATGCCTTCTCCATCTAAACGGGTGCGTCTTCCGGAGTGCCACAGTTGTCCTTACTTAGACCTCTACTGTTCAACAACTTCACGATATGTTGTTCGCAAAAATGTAGGAAATTTTCACTTTGGAATCGCAGTGTGGACGACTTATTTATCACACCCTGGTCCCATGATAATAAGTATGTGTAATCAAATGGTGACGAGTGAAATTAGGGAATAATTTCACGCGCGTTTTGTCCAAATCCTTATAATTTCCCGAGCCTTTAGGCGTTACCTATTAATATCATGGGTGACGAATTACGTAGCAATCTTGGATTTTTGACATGTTTATCCTGGATCGTCTCGATCGAGAACTCCTGCACTCTCTCGAACGTTTAGAGCTTAAATTTGGCTCAAGTTCAGAATTTTTCGACAAAATTCCTGTTAGAATCCTTCTTGATGTGCTCTTTCGTGTGTTCAGGTTTTCTAAAACGTCTTTTTGTGCCCTGACATCTTCATTCATGACATTTTAAAACTTCGTCGCCATCTTGACACTGAGACGTACGGAAGGTTGCCATGGCAATTTGGTAATTTCACATGTGAATTTACAAATTAACGCTGAAATTTCGCGCCAAAATTAAGGAGTAATTCGTCACCTATGATATTACATGGCTAACACTCTGTCTGCGTATCATTATTTTTCGACCAAATAGGCTGATAGCCAATCTATCATCGTACCAAGTCACTGAGCCCACATATCGAATATATAATGGGTCGATCAGTAATCTATGAGTATCTGGATATCAGAATCTGCGGTCAAACCTTTATGTGAGGTCGGGTCGACTAAGTCATTTTTCAAGGACCGTTTTTGAAATCTATTCCTAGACTATGTAGCGTTCCGTGAATCAAAATTCTTAACGCGTCGGTATCCTTTATTGCCAAATTAAAAGCCTATTTACTATTTATGATAATCTTCCAAGGTGTAACCCCTCAGGCGTTGATTCAATTGACCACTCCAGAAAATACCATAACATACCATAATGCTCTATGTATGTCACCCCCAAATTTTGCATAAGCATTGTCTTCAGTTTCTCTTGGGAGTTAAAATGGCCCCAAGAGAAACTGAAAACAATGCTTATACAAAATTTTGGGGTGACAAACAAAGAGTATTATGGTATGTTATGGCATTTACTGCATGTAGTGGTCAATTCTGGCAACATGGTTTAGTATTAAAGTTATAGTTTTTGCCACGCATTCTGTCTTTGCAAATCAGTTTTTCTACGACTTTGAGGGCGCCCCACGATAATGGTCGAATTTGTACTAGCGACAAATTTGCTTCAAGATGAATTATTATCCATTCATAATATTTCGCCGTTTCTGATTGGCTCAAAGCCCAGGTTAATTCTTCATAACCAACTGGCGTTGACCACATTTGGAAGACGCGAGCAATAGACCTATTCGGCTAACTCAATGTTGTACCCAATTCAAATCCCCCTGGGTTAAGATTCTTTGTGTATTGTATTTGCACTATAAAATGGCACTCACATATGAATGATATGGAAATTCCTAAAACAAAACGTTTTATTCCCAAAGGGTTTGAATTGGGCACAACATTGAGTTAGCCGAATAGGTCATACTATCAATTCGATGGTATATTGACTTGGAAAGGAGGTTGATCAATGGCATATTGATTTGGAAAGCAGGTGGCATGGGCAAAAGACCATCGATCAACCTCGTTTTCAAGAGCAGCGGCCCAGCTGTTTATTCACGAGTGAACTAAAACTAATGGCGTTCACTCGGCTATTCGAAGACGAAATAGCCTAAATATTCTGAATAAAACTAAACGGAAAGAAAGTAGAATACGCAGAACATATTGCTCGATAGATGTTATCTACTTTTTGAAGATCGATTGAGGACATTGTGAACATTGAGGAGTATCTGTAAGAAAAAACCTGAGTGTGTTTACAATCCGGAGACTGTGCAAAAAATAGGCCAAAGTTTAAAGGAAAGTTTACGAGGTGGTAAGCTTGTTCAGGACATAAAAATATTTTGAATGAATAATAAAACAGTTATTGAACTCCTGTAGCAAAGCCTCGCCTTCCTCTCCCTCCCCTCGGGGCCATAATATTCTTTCATATTGTTCTCGTTCAAAAGCTATCAAGCGTCCCCCGTTGTTAACAGACTATTGATTCTGTTTTTATTCAGAAATCCATTGGTAAAATGAATAATCAATATTCAACATTCGTATGTTGAATGGATCG